CAGCAGGAACACTGCCAGCTGAGCTGGAACTAAGGGGAACAGAAAAAGCAGGAGAGAATAAAGAAGGCTGTGAATATGTACCATCCTTCGAGGAAAGGGAAGAGGGCCCCTAACGGCCACTCGGAAATCATCAGGGCTGCCACACCCACCACAGGCCCAGGGTGCAGGGCTAGCTCCCGAGTGAGGGCACCTCTCTAGCCTGCACAGGCCAGGATGTTACCGGCAGCACCTCTGGGGCAGGGCCCCCTGAAAGCCAGGGCAGGGACCTGCTAAGCCAAGAGAGTGCCCGCTTCCCTCCTACCCCCAAGAGAGCCACGGAGAGATGGTGGGCCCAGCCAAGGAGAGCTGTGGTGGGGGGACAGATCAAAGAGTTCTTCCTGAGCCTTAAGCCTTCATAAAATCTGCCTTGCTAAGTTGTTGGGACCATCGCCCCTCCCCGCTTTCCAGTCTCTCCCTTTGGAATGGAAATGTCTGTCCCATCATTCTGTTTTAGAAGCACATAACTTACCTGGCGTCACAGGGTCATCTGCCCAGGACAAACTGCCCTTGGTCCCACCCACAGCTGACGCAGATGACACTCAGCTAAGACTTTAGACTTCAGAGTTGATGCTGGGATGAGTTAAGATTTCAGGGGCTTTTGGGGTGGAATGAGTACACTTTGCACATGAGAAGGAAATGAGCATTGGGGAGTCAGGGACAGAGTGCTGTCTCCCCTAAACCTCGTAGGTTGAAGCCCTAACCCCCAGTGTGACAGTATCTAGAGGTGGGGCCTTAGCAAGGTAATTTGGTTTAGAGGAGGCCATGAGGGTGGTGCTCCCATGAGGGAACTGGCGCTTTTTTAGAGAGAGAGATTTTTGCTATTCAGCATGTGTACTCGACAGAGAGACAGAAAGTGAGAAATCACCCCCCAAGGAGGACCACACCGCAATCCCTTCTCCTCCATTCTCCTCTCAGGATTGGGTATGAACACACACACACCCGGTGTGTTTTAAGCCACTTGGTCAAACCGCAGTCGATTACGTGGGAGTCCAGTGATATAGACAATTATGCCATCTGCTGTCCCAGGACTGGTGTTCTTAAAGAAGAGGAAAAGATTGGAGTGAGTCTCCCTCGGTCTCTGTCCACCATCTGAGGACACAGTCTGCAAACAGGACAGAGGGCTGCGCCCAGGCTCTGTAGCTGCCAGCACCTGGATTACGGACGTCCCAGCTCCCAGAACTGGGAGAAATAAACTTCTGTCGTTTCAGCCACTCAGCCTACGATACTCAGTTCTAGCAGCCCAAATGGACTAAGACGCCAGGAGGGGATGTGCAGGGATGAAAGAAAGCCACAGGGGGGAGGCAGCAGGCGGTGTGTCAGTTACAGGCACTGGACTCCCACATGGCCGATCATGGTTTGAGACCTGGCGGCTTGCTTCTTACTTTCCCTCTCTCTCTTGATCACTCTGTCCCTCTCTGGTCAAATTAATATAAATAATAAATAAAGTTAAATAAAATAATTTTTAAAAAGCAAGCAAGCAAGCCAAAGAGGAAATCACTCGGAGAACATGCTACCTATTATCACAAAGCATCTCATAAGTCAAGAAAGACAAGCAGGATAAAGCAAGGCTATAAAAACAATTCCATTCTTAACTCTGGCATCTAGCTTTCCCAAACAACTCTCCTTCTTCTGTCCCAAAAGACCCAGCCACATGGGAGAAAGCATCCCAGCCTGACTCACTTGTGTAATCACTGAGGGTGTACAGGACGGTGATGAGGTTGTCCAGGCAGGGCCAGTGGTCAGGATTGCACCGCAGCCCTTCCTCAAAAGCATGGCGAGCCAGGGGGACCCGGATGAGCCTCAAGGCCACGTGTCCAATTTTATACCAGAGGTTGACATCCGTGGAGTCCAGCATCACTGCCTAGAAGGGGCACAAGCAGAGGGTACACACACACACAGTCATCTGTGGTGACAGGAGGGACGCAGCGGCCCTGGCCCAGACACTCGAACAGCCAGGAAATATTTAGCGTGACGTAACTACCTCCTAACTGACCAGCAAGGCCAGCTCACCTCCCTGGAGTTGCATGTCGCCAAGACCCAGAGAAATGGCACGTGAGAGGTTACATGGGCCAATTTATCTAACTCGGAACATTTTCTTGATAAATCTGTCCATGTGAACATTTGCATTCTTTGCATATTTACTACGTAGAAGTGAAATGAAAAAAGTAAAATGAAAAGAAAATATAGATGTCTTGAGGATTCTAGAAAGAGATTAGCTTTTGGACAGACCTCGGTTCCTAGCCCAGCTCCAACACGGTCTAGCAGAATGAGTCTGAGTCTCTGTGTCTTTAACACTAAAATGAGGATAAAGACATCTTCCCTGCAACATGGCACAAAGGGCAGAGTGTGTGTGGAAAGTGATTAGCATGATAATTAGTATTCAGCACATGAGAGACGCCTTCACGGACGGTGACAGGCAATCCGTTCTGCCTGGAGTGTGCTGGGTGTCAGGCCCTGCTCTTCACACTGCTGTGCGCCGACTCACTCCATTTCCCTAACTGTCCTCTCTCCGGTTATTCCCACTCTACCGATGTAGGCCGGGAAGCACCAACAGATTACATAACATGCCCGTGGTCACACACACACTGAGTGGCAGAGGAAGGATTCACACCCGGCCTCTGCATCTAAGTGTGCCTGTCTACACCCACAGTTACCACGCACTGACTGGGGCCTCAGGCACAGCTTGGTGATGCGCCCGCCAACAACCTCATCTCCCCACCGAGAGCTCTCGTGACACCCGGGGAGCTGGGCACCTCCAAGTAGAACTCCATGGCCGTCTCCAGATCTTCTCTCTGAGCTGCCAGCTGGGCCAGGTTCTTATACGTGGAATATTTCAGTATCAGTCCCGGGTGTTTCAATCCCTCTTTCTCATCCCCTGATGAAACCACCTGTGAACAAAGCAAACGGGAGCAGAAGTGACACGTAGGCCCGCAGCCTTGGTGAGCAGGGAGGCTGGCAGGGTACCTGGCTTCCAGGCTGGTCTCTGCCACGGGCCCTTAGCCAGAAGCGCCACTTTCACGTCCATCAGAAAAGGAAGGCGCTGCGCCACATGTTCTTAGAGACCCCTCCAGCTCCGATCACAGGGAAGAAAGGCAGATGCCAGAGGCAGGCTGCAGGCAGTCTGGGTATCACAGTGACAAAAGGGCACGCTCCCCTCACTGCATTTCTGAGGGTTCAAGCCTGGATGGTGACAACGACGACCTCAGCACTGGAAGCCAGCCCCGCCTGCAGCTCCCTGCCGCAAGTCGGAGACCCCGACCCCCGCCTGCAGCTCCCTGCAGCATGTCTGAAGATGACACCAGGATTAGGAGTCAGGAGGCCAAACTCTGCTCTGTAACTCATCAGGGAGGCCAGATGACTTTAACCAAAGCATTAGCTCTCGGCGGCATGAGGACAACAGTCCTACCCGCAGGATCAAAAGTGAAAGTGAGCTGAAAGAACCCAAGGACTGTAAACACGCTCTTATATAAACAGCTCTTTCACGACAGCTTTTTTGTTGAGAGTTTTGGGGTTTTTTCTTGCTATCGGGCACATGCGCTCGCCAGAAAGACGGAGACATGAGAGACAGAAAGCGAGAAATCATCCACGGGGGGATGGCCACACCACAAACCCTTCTCCTCCATTCTCCTCTCGGGATCTTGGGCACACACTCACATGCGCGTGGCGTGAGTTTAAGCCACCGAATCTGGGACTCAAACCATGGTCTACTACATGGGAGTCCAGCAACGTAGCCATTGCGCTATCTGCTTGTCCCGAGTAAAACGTTTCTAACAGAAAGGCTTACTAGCACAAAGCAGCTCTTTCCTGGGGGAGGTGGACTTCCCGGCCTTGTCCGGGGAAGGCAAGTTCTACACAGCGCTCGTTCTCCATGTTCAGAGCAGACATGGCCTGCAGACATGCCGTCCTCAGGAAAGACGGAAGAGCTCGAATCAAGCCCCATTCAGTTTTCTTCTACTGTCATCTGCCATCTATTACAAAACGGTGCCACAACCAGCTGACAGAGCTGGGTCCCAGGTACCTCTTCAAAAGCAGAGTGCACAGATTTACAGAGCCTGCGTGGGCTGACTTTGGAGCCTCCCAGCCAGCGATACATGCACAGAGCCGGGGAGACGCTCCTCCCTCCACCTCCCTGACCACGTCGGCACTGCGCCTTCAGCCCTCCACAGGCCCTGCCTCCAGGACGCCCACCAGCCAGGACGGCCTCCTGAGGAGGTGGCTGTGGTCCAGGACCTGCTTCTGCCACCCGTTTGTGAAACTGTAATTATGTAACTCAGTTGACTATCAGGTACACTAATGCCATATCAGAAACCAATGCCGTGTGTCTTTTCTAGACTTCCTAACTGTTTACGACGGGCAAGCTCTACAGTCAGAAGCATGGAGGGAGGGTACGAAAACGATCTTTCAAGACCGAAAATGATATACGCGGAGAAACACGCACACCAGACTACAAGACTAACACGTGGCCGAAGGCCCTGCCCAGCACCTGCTGGGAGCCGGCCCACCCGGCCTCAGCTCTGTGCTTGGGCTGCCTCTCCGTGCTGTGCTCGCCTGTTCACGCCTCCCGACCAACTCCACGAAAGACCTACTCCTGAAACACACCAGACCTGGCCAGAACTGAAGCTCAGTGACATGGTGCACACATTTCTCCCTCTCTGGCCCTCGCTCACTTCACTAATGGGACAGGGGCAGGTCACAATTCCCGTGCCCCTAATTTCAAGCCACTATACCCAGTTCCCAGAGTCCCGACGAGCTACATATGGCGTATGAGGAAACAGCTTGAGTGAGAGGAGGGATGGAGGCTTTCTGCGAGAGTTAGAACACAGCATTCTGTCTCTTCAGTGGCAGAAAACACCCAGGGCTGGGGCTCGAGACACAAGCACCTGCCTCACTGGGGATGCAGGAGATGCCGGCAGCTGAGAACGGGGAGGTCTAGACGGTGCCCGACTGTCTGCTTCCTTGACGCACAGCGTCTGTGTGACTGTGGCCTTGAAAACTAAAGCTTTTTCCTCCTCATGAAATCAATCTCAGGTGGAGACCAATTCCCAAATCTCCGGGTACCATCTCTGAACCAGTCACCTTGAGGCTTAACTCGCCACTCACGTGGTTCCCACACCAGAACCAAGTCCTGCCCCGCCAGCCCCGTGTACCCAGCGGCCCCTCCTGCTCTCAGACCATGTTCAAAAGTCCTTGCGTGCCTGCACAGACTCTGAGCTCATGGCCTGGGATCGCACGGTATGTTCCAGAACGTGCTGCCCACTGGACTGTTAGGAACCAGAGACCTCGGGCTCCCACGTGGGCACTAATGCTCCACGTATGCCGGTGGCTTTGAGCCATCTGCCTATCTGTAAAACGGGGACAGCACCCCTCCTCAGCAGAGCGGCCGCACAGAGGGAGCAACAAGCAGGGCTGGCGTGCGCCGAGCACTCGCATGCGCCAGGAACCGCGCCGAGCACTCGCATGCGCCAGGAACCGCGCCGAGCACTCGCATGCGCCAGGAACCGCGCCGAGCACTCGCATGCGCCAGGAACCATTCTACATGATTCTGAGTCCACTCAACCTTCACGGCACCCCAGTGAGGCAGGGCCTCTCCAGCTGGGGACTGAGAGGCAGACAGGTGAAACGATGTGTCCAGTGTGACCCGGCCAAGAAACAGGAGGGCAGACGCCAGAGCCACCTGCCAGGCTCCGGAGCCCACACGCTGCCCCCACGGCACACCGCTGGGCCCGCTGGCGCCTCACCTCCCTCAGCAGGCGTGCCTCCAGGAGCTCGTGGTAGGCTTTGGCAGACTCCTCGAACCGGTCGTGTTTCTGCAGATCCAGGGCCTTGTGGTATAAGGCGAAAGCCTCTGCTTCCTGCAACCAACACGGGAGATATTTTCATGCGGCGCAAAGGTCTTTTTTAAACTAAAACTGTGCATGAAGAGTGCTGTCAGCACAGCCACATCAGCCTTCAGCTGTACCCTCTGTGGGGGAAAAGCCCTGCTGCCCAGTCTCCTAGAAGCTCGTCACTGGGAGAAGCGCCCCTCGTGAGCCCCCTGCCCAGGGGACACAGTGACACAGGTGTCTCTCAGTCCAAGTGACCATACAGAGAGCCAGGCAGGGGCCCAGAATGTCAACAAACTATGAACCCAGCAGCCCTTTCTGGATGAAGTCAAGGGAATAGCTATACCAACACCAGCATGGGACCCAGGGAATGCAAGAGCGTGGCCGTGGTATCGTAAGCAGTATATATTTGGTCTTCGTCCTGACTTCCTCCAGGAGGGAGGAGGCAGGCTGAGCTCCACTGACCTCTTACAGACCAGGAGTAGCTGCCCAGGAGGCTTCTGAGAGGGTGTGGAACCTTCCTGGTTTCTCTCATAAAAGGTGTGGGGTGGGGTAGGCATTCGTTTATTCCCAGGAACGCAAAGACAGGAGCAAACCCTAGTTATGGTAGGGCAGGACACGGACACAGAAGGATGGGTGGAAGACAGGAAGGCTCAAACGGAAGCGATGCCAGCTCTGGTAGAGAGCAATGACCAGGAATCTAGAGAGCTGACGCAGAACCACACTCACCCACCCTGACCCGGATCGAATCTCAGGTAAGGGTCTCCTCACACTGCGAGTGAGGCCAACACACTAGGGAACCTCAAGCACCACCTGCCATTAAAATTTCTCCCGTCCCCTGGGCATGCCAACTCCCGAGGCCTGCACAAAGAACGGGCCCACGGAAACGGGCACCAGCTGGAGAAGTGGGCCCGGGGCCGATGCGGCCCTGACGCACACTGACAGGACAGGTGCAGTTCCTCTCCACCATGACCATCCTGTAGGTGAAACAGGCCTAACGAGAGATGGAGAGCTGGCCACCTCTCAGAATGGAATTTGCTCCTAAAACCCCATTAAGGAGATGTCTGGATGCGTTTAAAATGAGGTTCCACTACAGAAAGGAGAAGCGAGGTCTCCTTTCAGAGAGAGACCTTGGATTACATACCTGGGCCTCCTTCGTCTGAGTTTTGTGACTTTTAAAGCTTCCTTCATGATCATCTTCAACGGTGGAACTGGCATTTAAGGCTGCAATTCGAATCTGCAAACGGGTTTAGAGGACAGAGAGTTATTTCAACTGAGAGGTCATGAATCTCTTCCACAGCCCCCGATGAATACCACCAGGAAAAGCTTCAGTCTTCTCAGAATGTGGGAGAGGGACCACAACCATCACCTAGGGGAAAACTAAGGACAAACACGTGTCTGGGAGGGGCATGCCAGTCTGCAGGGAGCATGTCCTGGGCACTGTCCCCTGCAAAGAACAGAGACTGGGGGGCCAGCATAGTCAAGGGCACTGGACTCCCACACGGCCTACTGCGGTTCAAGTCCTGGACCTGGCAGCTTGCTTTCTCGCTTTCTCTCTCTCTCCCCATCTCTGGTCAAATTTAAATAAATAAATCATTTAAAAAAAAAAAAAAAAAAAAGAAAAGAAAAAAACAACAGAGACTAGAACACTCCAGCAATAGCTTGGCACAGTGGAGGACCCGGATGTTGGAATAACAGATCCCAACAAAACTTTCCAGCCACTGGGACAAGCACTGCCAGCCTTCAAGGGCAGGCCAAGCACCCATACCAAAAACGTGCCAGAGCCGTCCCAGGTGGAAGGCTGCTCCACGGGGAAAGCCTTCGGTCCACCAGGAAAGTGCTCCTCTCGCCCAGGGGACTAGAACTAACGGGAGAACACTGACACCAGCAAAACAGGCCGGCATGGTCCTTACCATATTTAGAGAGACTCAGCGCTGCCGCGGAGCATCACTTCCCATCACTGGCAGAGGCTGCGCCAGGCCACAAGTCACCTAGAGCGAATGGGACAGACTGAAAGAGGGTCGAGGGAGAGCCAGGAGTGGCACGGCGCCAGGGGCCCCCTGGGACGCAGTCCCTCCCTGGGCTCTTCACTCAGGCAGGTGACCACTTGCCTGGCTAGAGGTTCTGCCCTGCCAGTTACACACCAGGTGCCAGACACGCAGAAGAGCAAGTCCAGGTCCTGCCCTAGGGCCCACTACTCAGCAGCGGGAACAGACCCATATACCATGTACTTTTCCAAAAGCTGAATGATGCAGAGAAACACGGGCAACGTCTGGGTGCAGAGGAGGACACTTCTGTCAAAGCGATTAAGGCAGGCAAAGCAGTAAGCCCTTGCGTTAAGTCTGAGAACGGAACACACTCATGGAAGGTGGGAAAGCACAGGCAGGGAGTAGGCGACACGGGGAAACCAGGAGACAGGCCTTAGAGCAGGGATAAGCAGGGAGGAAAGGACAGTGAGTGGGGCCAAAGACAGGCCCCAGGTCATGAACTTTACCTGGAGGCACCCAGAAACCACTGTGGGTACTCAGGAGAACCAAAGTTCCCACCTATGGTTTAGAAATATAATGGATGGGCCAGCCCATTAGCTGGTGGTTAATGCAGATGGATCCCACAAGGCCAGTCATGCAGTTCAAGTCCCAGACCCAACAGCTCGAGAAACACACCAGGTGCACGTGAGTACCCAAAATCCCCAAGGGAGGAAGCAGAGAGGAGACGGGGTTGTGGCATGACAATGCCCCAATGGGGAGGCTTTCTTGCCCTCCCTTGTCGCTCCCTGGCAAGCACAGGTGCATATAACCTATGTATCCACCAAGAGAAAGGAGAGTATGTCCATACAAAATCTGCCCTGGGGAACCAGCAGTTAGCGTAATGGCTATGTCACTGGACTCCCACGTAGTCGGCCACGGTTCGCGTCCCGGACCCGGTGGCTTAAAACTCACGC